ACAGTTGAAAAAAACACAAAAAAAAAAAAAAAAAAAAAAAAAAAAAAAAAAAAAAAAAAAAAAAAAAAACAAAAAAAAAAAACAGAAAGTAATATACAATTAAAGACATGCTGCCTCAATATTTTTAAGATAAGGGAAGTATTGATCCCATTTAATCCATTTGTAGCACATAGACATGCTGCTAATAATTATCGCTAAATTTTAATTTTAAATCTATACATTGCTGCATATTTTCGGTAAAAATTCAAATTTACATACTGGGCTTTAAATATTCGGTACTTAGGAGCTTCAACATTATTATTTTTTTTTTTGAATTTGTACAATTTTTGACCATAAGGTGGCATACTCAAAAGGCATTATTTTTTCAAACTTGTATCCCGTTATATTAATTTTTTCTTGATTCGTACATTCGAAACGAAGAATGGAATTTACAATTATGTCATTTGGAAAAGTAGCTGTGACTGTATACTCTTATGCCAACGATTCTTGAAACACTTTTCATAAGCACTTTTTGGGATGGCTGTCAGCTCCATCAGCGCTTCCTTACTTTTGTTATATCGCTTCGATTGGCTGAAAACGGGTCCCGTTAGTGGGAGTGGCAATATCAGTTTCGGGAAGAAAAAAGCCACACGCTGAAAAATATATTGAGTACGGTGGTTGACTAATGGCGTTTTTGGCTTTAAATTCGGTCACAATCGTCCTCTGTTTGAAAAAAAGGTCTCTTGCTATCGCTATAACACTAGCGTGACTAACTTCAAACACCATTTTGCTCACTATTTTAATATTATCAACAGTTTTGGAGGTCGAAGGTAGTCCAAAACCATGCCTCGGCTTCATTGATCTCTGGACTGTGTTTGAAGACTTTGTACCACTCTTAGGCTTGTGTATTTGATAAAACTGAATCACTGTAAGGCTTTTCCAATATTTACAAAGCTTTTGCACAGCTTAATTAATTAGAAACACACAATTCGACACAAATTCCTTAACGATGTCTTATCCACTGTGAAAATCGCAGCGCGCTACTGAGGTCTACCACTTAAAGCACTTGCTGTAAATACACTGGTGAACACTGCGTGCACATAGTTGTCATAGTTACTAAGGACAGTCCAAGTAAGATGGCAAAATACATTTTTCTGAAATGTAATTTATCCGCTGAATTACATTACAATTTCCGGGTGCTTTTTTTTTGCTGTGCATATACAATTTTTTCTCGTTAAATAAAATCCAAAAGTCTAAATTTTAGTTTAGTGTCTTAAAATTTATTTAAATTTTTCTACTGATATTTTTTATGAATTCATCACTCTCATGCAAAAAATTGTCTTTAAATTGTTTAAAGCGAAATGCTTTATTATATCAAAAATTTATTTTCTCTACAAATTATTGCTTTAAGTCTAGCAGTTGGTAATTTTTATCTTTTTTCATAACTCGCAAGCATCTCTTCACGCTCGCTGCACATATAAAGTTCTGGTTTGATGTCTACATATGTATCTAAGTTTATAAATAAATTTTTAAAGCATCTACCACATATTCACATGTATTTCTTATCTATAAATCGTCTTCGTTGCTTGTCACTTCCAACTGAAGTTGCAAAGAACAGCGTAGTTGGCAACATAAATATTAAATTTATGTATTTCTTTATATATACAATTGTATATATGACTTGCACATGAAGCTGGCGGTTACCTAGCAATGCTCTTCAACTGGTTGAGCTCGCCTCATACATAAATACTTGCAGGCATTTATTTATAAATCCATATAAAGCTGCATATCTAACTGACTGATGACTATGTGACACTCGGATTGCTCTTGGTGTGTGCTTTGGCATCATTATTCTCTGCTGGAGTTGTTGCTGCAGCTACTGCTTTGCAGCTCAGCATTGCTTTTTGTCATTCAGCATTATTTACTGGCATTTATTTATTATTTTTACTCGTACTTTATTTATATTTTTTGCTACGCGGCAACTGGTATACAGTTTTTTCTACTCATATTTATCATTAATTTTTTTCAAACTTTCGATTTGCGTTTTTGTGTTCTTCATTTAGTGTTGCCACGCTCACAATGGTTGTTTAGTGAATGTTTTGTTCAATACTGGTTTGTGGAATTCAAATATGAAACACAATATTACTATATATATTTTGAATTATGGATGCTGGATTCCTGTGTTAAGAAAGTTAATCTGTCGAACTTATGAAAAAAATAGTTTTTGTTTCTTATGTTGTTGCTTTAGTGTAATAAAATTATTTTTCGATATTATTGATTTTCCAATTTTACGTATAATCAATATATAACCACTATATAACCACTATATGAGCAATATATAACCATTTTATAACCAAAACTCAAATTTTGTTTCAAGTTAATGTTTTCTATTTTATCGTTTTTTATATGAAAAATGATGTTACCTTATTTTGCATTCTACTTGACGATATGTGCTTAAATTTGAGTGTTCTGTAGATGAAAATGACCCGAATTGAATTCACAGCTGAAATAATAAAACTGCAATTCTAAGCAAAATGAAATGAAGCTTAGAAATATACACATCGCATTTAACCCATGTTAATTAAGGCATAATAATATATTCGGAAAGCATATTTATATAATCTGTGTCTGTGAAAGTGTGCAATTTTTATGAAAAACAATTAAGACGACATATTCGAATAAGTTAGGTTA